CAGCCTCGACTGCTGGGCTCCGGCAATCTTTCTGCTCAGCTTCCAAGTAGCCGGAATTACAGGCATGTGTTACCACGCCCGGCTGATTTTTTGATTTATTGTAGAGATGAGGTCTCGCCACCCAGGTGGGTCTGTAACCCACGGGCTCAGGCAATCCACTCACCTCAGCCTCCCGAAGGCGCGGGATTACAGGCTGAGCCACCGAACCTGGCATTTTTTTAAGAATTAAATTAGATTTTCTCTTGTAATACTGATGGAGAGGGGAAAGAATGTGGAAATTTTCTTTCTAATTACAGTTCGCCCATTGAGCCGAGAGATCACAATGAGCCAGGCATATCAGAACATGTGTGCAGGAATGTTTAAAGTAAGTCGTTGAAAATAAAGTTCTTGGTTTTTTTTAACTATATTGCTTTCATATAGTTTATTTAAAATGAGATCTTTTCTGTGATTCTTTCCAGGTTCTAATTTTACTTTTTATTTTGTACCTGCTTGAAGATTACCGTTTTTCAAGTCTAGTTGTTTTTATTAATTTGTTCAACGAACATTTGGACTCTTGCTGTGTGTCATATACTTTGTACTGAATACATTGCAAGATACCAATTCTCATGAGATATGGTCCTCAATTCAAGTGCCTGGTTAATGGCGGGTCAGTTGACATATGTGTGATAGGTAGTAAGAAAAGGAAGAGAATCCTTCTGATTGGTGATCAGGAAAGGCTTCATAGAAGAGATGGAGTTTGGAATTTTATTAGGAGTATATCAGGAAGGGGATGGGCTCCACAGTGAATGGCTTGAGCGAAAGCAGGCCTTGTCAGGAGATATTGGGTACTAACTCTTAAGTTGTACTTAGCAAAAAAATGAAATGATTGAGGCAACTTATGTTAAAATGCATAAAGTAGAACATGGATTTTTGTTTGAAAAACAGGACCTATGGTTATAAATATTATATGCTCCTTATTTCTTCAGAAGCTTTTACTGTTTCAAATAGCTGTTCTTTGTTTTCTCTTCTGCATTGATATAAAGGTGATCATTTTTCACATTGATTTTATTTTTTTTCCTCACTCCCTTTTTCCTTTAGACCATGGTAGCATTTGACATGGATGGCAAAGTACGCAAACCCAAGTTCGAACTTGATAGTGAGCAAGTTCGGTATGAGCACAGGTTTGCTCCATTCAACAGTGTGATGACCCCACCACCGGTACACTACCTGCAGTTCAAGGTGAAGCTGCTCAGTGAAATCGTTGTGAGATCTTTAGTCTTACAGATGTGCATTTTCTTCCTGGCCAACTTGTTAAAATGTTAAAATACTTATTGGGCCAGTGGGACAGGTGATAAGAATAGCTTTTTTTTTTTTTTTTTGAATCGGAGTCTCACTTTGTTGCCCAAGCTGGAGTGCAGTGGCATGTTCACGACCACCACAGCCTCGACCTGCTGGGCTCAGGTGAGCCTTTTGCTTCAGCCTTCCAAGTAGCTTGAACCACATGCATGTACCACCATGCCTGGCTATTTTTTAAAAATTTATTTTAGAAACAAGGTCTTGCCAAGTTGCCCAGGCTGGTCTTGAACCCTTGGGCTCAGGCAGTCCTCTCGTTTCCACCTCTCAGAGTGCTGGGATTACAGGCATGAGCAGTTTTAAATAGTATAAAACTTATTTGACTTTGTTGGAAGTACTCAACACATTAACAGTTATTTAAGTTAAAGTAGTATGTGAAGGTTGAAAATGGAATACTACATAGGAAAAAACAGATGTGCTGAGTGTTTGCTTCAGTGTCTGCACATGAATAGTCAATGTAGAATGCTTTAAAATTTTAAAAAATATCTTAGAGAGTTTTTCTTTTTTATTTTATTTTAAAGATGTGGGGTACAATACAGGGTTAGGTATACAAATGTTCATTATGCAGGTACCCTTGTTGATGAGGTGTGCACCTCCCTCCCTGGCAGTTTCCCTCAACTGCCAGTCCCACCCCCCAGCAATTTCCTGCTACTGCCAGTCCCTTTAATTAATTAATTAATTAATTTTTAAAATGTTATGTTTTTTTTTTATTTTAAAGATGAGGGAGAGTTTTTCTTATTAAGCATGTTTTGGATAATAATTTCCCTTCTTTTTAGGAAATGTCTGACCTCAATAAATATAGCCCTCCTCCTCAGTCTCCGGAACTGTATGTGGCAGCTAGTAAGCACTTTCAGCAGGCAAAAATGATATTGGAAAATATCCCAAACCCAGATCATGAGGTGAGACTGGATTCACAGTAACCCGGGGGAATGCTAGGCAGGAAAACACATCTCTTACAACTAGATGAAAGCTAGTTATAAAAGTGGAGCTTGTCATGTTTCTGCCCAGAATTTCAAGTATCTTTGCCAACCTAACCTTGTCAGACTTAAAATTACTTTAAGAAAGAAGTGATAAGCCGGGGTTGGTGGCTCAGCCTGTAATCCCGTGCCTTGGGAGGCTGAGGTGAGTGGATTGCCTGAGCCCGCGGGTTCGAGACCCACCTGGGCAACTTGGCGAGAATTCATCTCTACAATCAATCAAAAAATCAGCCAGGCGTGGTTGCATGTGCCTGTAATTCCGGCTGCTCGGAAGGCTGAGGTGGAAGGATCGCCGGAGCCCAGCAGGTTGAGGCTGCGGTGGCCAGGAGTGGCCACTGCACTCCAGTCTGGGCAACAGAGTGAGACTCCCAACTCAAAAAAAAAAAAAGAAAAGAAAAAGAAAGAAGTGATATAAATACCTGCTTGGTGTAAATTTAGAAATCAATGCAAAGAGAAATTAAGACTTGGAATCATAAAGTGAAAAGTACAGAATTACAATCTATAGTTCAGTATGCTAGCATTAACAATTTTCTATTTTAATCTATAGTTTACTGTATTAAAATAGAAACATATAAGTGTTAAACATAAAAAATGACCTGGCTAATTATCACAGGAACAACCATATTTCACTTGACCACTTAAAGATTACTGCTTTTTTTTTTTTTTTTTTTTTTTTTGAGTTGGAGTCTCACTCTGTCACCCAGACTGGAGTGCAGTGGCTGCTCCCGGCCACCGCAGCCTCCACCTGCTGGGCTCCGGCAATCCTTCCACCTCAGCCTTCCAAGTAGCCGGAATTACAGGCATGTGCTACTACGCTCGGCTGATTTTTTTTTGATTTATTGTAGAGATGAGGTCTTGCTGCCCAGGCGGGTCTCGAACCCGCGGGCTCAGGCAATCCACTCACCTCAGCCTCCCAAAGGCGCAGGATTACAGGCTGAGCCACCGAGCCCGGCTAAGATTACTGCTTTTAAAAAAATAATAAATAAATACTGTTTCATACTTTTGGTATTTTAGTAATTTGCTGTATCCTTAATTTTCTATAAGTAAAAGTTACTGTAAAACATATACACTGTTTTGAGGAGTTTATCTTAGTGTACCTTCCATGGATGGTTAGTGTGGCATTATCTAAAAAATTACAGATACTTAAATCCAGGAATTCTGTTTCTTGGGAATTGTCTTATAGATACATGTGCACATATAGGAAATGAAGTATGTGGTGAATAAATTGTGTTTATTGCAGCAGGATTTCTTTTTTTTTTTTTTGATAATCAATATTTTTTTATTATGATGTTGTGGGATATAGTTAAGGGTTAGGTATACAAATACGTTTCATTCAGCCACCCTACTGATTAGAGGTGCTTCCCCATCCCCATAGAGATATTTGCCCATTAATCCCATCTCCCTCCCCCCCCATAGTTTCCCACTACTGTCAGTCATTTTCTTATAGTATTAGATTGGATGTTCAAGGTCCATTATATGAGTGAAAACATGTGATACTCGACCTTTGTTTTTGTGAGAGTTCACTCAGTATTATAGACTCTACTTCCATCCAGGTTGCTGCAAAATTCATTTTTTTAAAAAAAGTACTTATTTATTTTTTATTATGAAGTTGTGGGGTACAGGCTCCAAAATTCATAATCTTGTTCTTTTTTATGGCTGCATAGTATTCCATCGTGTATATGTACCACATTTTTTTAATCCAATCTTCTTTTGATGGGCAGCATGGTTGCTTCCAGGTTCTTGCTATTGTGAACAATGCTGTGATAAACATACGTGTGCAGGTGTCTTTTTTGTAGAGTGATTTGTATTCTTTCGGATATATTCCCATTAGGGGGATTGCGGGGTCATATGGGAGGTTGATATTTTGAGCTTTTAGGAATCACCACACTGTTTTCCACAGAGGTTGCACTAGTTAACACTCTCACCAACAGTGTAGAAGTGTTCCCTTTTCTCCACACCCTCTCCAGCAGCTGTTATTTTTTGAGTTGTTGATAATTGCCATTCTGACTGGAGTTAGGTGGTATCTCCGTGTGGTTTTGATTTGCATCTCCCTGATGATTAGTGAAGTTGAACATTTCTTCATATGTCTGTTGGCTGCTTGGATGTCTTCCTTTTTGAAGTGTCTGTTCATGTCTTTTGCCCATTTTATAATGGAATTGTTTGTTTTTTTCTTTTCAGCACGTTTGAGTTCCTTGTAGATCAAAGATGTTAAGCCTTTGTCTGACCTGGTGTTGGCAAATATTTTTTCCCAGTCTGTAGGCTGTCTCCCTGCTCTCTTGATGGTTTCTTTGGCTTTGCAGAAGCTTGTCAGTTTAATAAGGTCCCACTTGTCTATCCTCTCTCTTTATGACCTGTGGATTTTGGGTTTTGTTCAGGAATTGGAGGCCAGTTCCGATTTCCATGAGGGTATGTCCTTCATTTTCTAAGGTTCTTATGGTTTGAGGTTTTACATTTAGGTCTCTGATCCATTTGGAGTTAACCTTTGTGCATGGGGATAGGCAGGGGTCCTGTTTCAATCTTCTGCATGTGGTCAGCCAGTTTTCCCAGCACCATTTACTGAATAGGTTCTCTTCTCCCCAGTGGTAGGTGGTGGAGGCTTTGTCGAAGATGAGTTGGTTGAGAAATTGAAATTTATCTTCTGGAATCTCCATTCTATTCCATTGA